CAGACGGACACCCCTATATACCCCCAAAACTTCATTTCCGGGGGCATAATTAAAAAAAAATATAAAATGCACCCAGCCGGTATCGAACTCTGCTTGAAAGGCATACATTCTAGACACTACGTCACGAGTTCAAACTTCCTGGCTGAACAAGACAGTAATCCGTACTAAATAGTTTTGAGAAACACGATTGGTGTATAATAAGATTGCAGATTTTCTGTATAAACAAATTATTTCGATTGGTTTCAACTTTGAACGATCGAGTTAATAATTGAAAGCCTAGGATACAATAGAACTGCCGTGTCTATACTTTGTTTACAAATTTGCGACACATGTCGCGTTCAGTTTGACAGATAATGTTGAAGTTATAGGTGACATAAGATAAGAATAAGCCTATAATAGCTGACCTTTTCCCGTTTCACAATATACAATGATGAAAAACCTCAAAGTTCAGGTTAGCTAACCGGCCCATCCCAGCCCCTGGGACATTTTGAAACGTTGACAGGGGATACCCTCTAAGACCCTTAACCCATCCTCGGTGATAGTTGGTTTAGGTGCCCAATAAAGCAGCACAAATGAATGCTTGAAATATACCCACACACTTGGCACCACTTAGGGGTACCACTACAGCCCCATTTTGAAAGTGGGAAATGATAGCCCTAGGGCCCCTCTACATCGCCCCAGTAATCATTTGGTAAAAACTTCAAAGATAAGGCGTATAATAGCTGACCTTTTTCCGTTTCACAATATACATGTACAATGATGAAAAACCTCAAAGTTCAGGTTAGATAACAGGCCCTTCCCAGCCCCTGGGACATATGGAAACGTTGACAGGGGGTACCCCCTAGGACCCTTAACCCATCCCCGGTGATAGTTGGTTCACGTGCCCAATAATGCAGGACAAATGAATGCTTGAGATATGCCCCACGCACTTGGCACCACTTGGTGGTGCCACTACAGCCCCATTCTGAAAGTGGGAAATGATAGCCCTAGGACCCCTCTACCTTGTCCCAATAATCATTTGATGAACAATTCAAGGATAAGGCGTATAATAACTGCCCTTTTCCCCTTTCCCAATGTACAATGATGAAGAACATCAAAGTTCAGGTTAGCTAACTGGACCCTTCCAGCCCCTAGGACCCTGCAGAAATCTGTCAAGGGATACCCCCTAAGGCCCCTTACCCATCCCCAGTGTTAGTTTGTTCTGGAGGCCGACAATGAATAAAATATGAATGCTGGAAATATGCCCCACACAATTGGCACCACCAAGTGGTGCCACTACAGCCCCATTCTGAAAATCTGAAATGATAGCCCTAGGGCTCCTCTACCTTGCCCCAATAATCATTTGGTGAACACTTCAAAGATAAGGCGTATGATAGCTGACCTTTTCCCGCTCCACAATATGCAATGATGAAAAAAACATCAAAGTTCAGGTTAGCTGACCGGCCTTTCCCAGCCCCTGGGACCCTTTGAAACTTTGACAGGAGATACCTCCTAAGACCCTTATCCCATCCCCAGTGAAAGATGGTTCAGGTTCCCAGAAATGGAGGACAAATGAATGCTTCAAATATGCCCCACGCACTTGGCACCATATCGTGGTGCCACTACAACCCCATTTTGAAGATGGGAAATGATAGCCCTAGGACCTCTCTACCTTGCCCCAATAATCATTTGGTGAACACTTCAAAGATAAGGCGTATGATAGCTGACCTTTTCCCGTTTCACAATATGCAATGATGAAAAAACATCAAAGTTCAGGTTAGCTGACCGGCCTTTCCCAACCCCTGGGACCCTTTGAAACTTTGACAGGATATACCCCCTAGGACCCTTAACCCATCCCCAGTGAAAGATGGTTCAGGTTCCCAGAAATGGAGGACAAATGAATGCTTGAAATATGCCCCACGCACTTGGCACCACTTGGTGGTGCCACTTCAGCCCCATTTTGAAGGTGGGAAATGATAGCCCTAGGACCCCTCTACCTTGCCCCAATAATCATTTGGTGAACACTTCAAAGATAAGGCGTATAATAGCTGACTTTTTCCCGTTTCACAATATGCAATGATGAAAAAACATCAAAGTTCAGGTTAGCTGACCGGCCTTTCCCAGCCCTTGGGACCCTTTGAAACTTTGACAGGAGATACCCCCTAAGACCCTTAACCCATCCCCAGTGAAAGATGGTTCAGGTTCCCAGAAATGGAGGACAAATGAATGCTTGAAATATGTCCCACGCACTTGGCACCACTTGGTGGTGCCACTACAGCCCCATTCTGAAAATGGGAAATGATAGCCCTAGGACCCCTCTACCTTACCCCAATAATCATTTGGTGAACACTTCAAAGATAAGGCGTATAATAGCTGACCTTTTCCCGTTTCACAATATGCAATGATGAAAAAACATCAAAGTTCAGGTTAGCTGACCGGCCTTTCCCAGCCCCTGAGACCCTTTGAATTTTTGACAGGATATACCCCCTAAGACCCTTAAACCATCCCCAGTGAATGATGGTTCAGGTTCACAGAAATGGAGGACAAATGAATGCTTGAAATATGCCCCACGCACTTGGCACGACTTGGTGGTGCCACTACAGCCCCATTTTGAAGGTGGGAAATGATAGTCCTAGGGCCCCTCTACCTTGCCCCAATAATCATTTGGTGAACACTTCAAAGATAAGGCGTATAATAGCTGACCTATTCCCGTTTCACAATATACAATGATGAAAAATATCAAAGTTCAGGTTAGCTAACCGACCCTACCCAGCCCCTGGGACTTTTTGAAACTTTGTCAGGGGATACCCCCTAAGACCCTTAACCCATCCCCAGTGAAAGATGGTTCAGATTCCCAGAAATGGAGGACAAATGAATGCTTGAAATATGCCCCAGCCACTTGGCACCACTTGGTGGTGCCACTACAGCCCCATTTTGAAGGTGGGAAATGATAGCCCTAGAACCCCTCTACCTTGCCCCAATAATCATTTGGTGAACACTTGAAAGATAAGGGGTATAATATATGACTTTTTTCTGTTTTCAATATGCAATTATAAAAAAAACAGCAAAGTTCAGGTAAGCTTGCTGGCCCTTTCCAGACCCTGGGACTCTACAGAACTCTGTCAAAGGATATTCCCCCTAAGATCCTGAACCCATACCAGTGATAGTTTGTCCAGGTGCACAATAATACATGGCAAATGAATGCTTGAAATATGCCCCAGCCACTTGGCACCACTTGGTGGTACCACTACAGCCCCATTTTGAAAGTGGGAAATGATATCCGTAAAAGCCCTCTACCTTGCCCCAATAATCATTGGTTGACACTTCAAAGAAAAGCTGTTCTCTAATGGGTTTTTTCGGGATATAATGTAAAAGCCAACGTCCAGGTTTGCCTACTAGCCCTTTGTGGTCCCTGGGACCCTTTGAAAGGTTGACAAGGGATACTTCCTAAGGCCCTTAATCCATCCCCAGTGATAGTTTGTTCAAGTGGCCAATAATTGATGACAATTGATTGCTTGAAATATACTCTACGCACTTGGCACCACCTGGTGGTACCACTACAAACCCGTTCTTATAGCAGGAAACAAAAGTCCTGGGGCCCTTCTACCTTGCCCTAGTTACGATATGGTGGGCACTTTATAAATCATGGGTATAATACCTGCCTCTTATATTAAAAATGCTCTTGGAACCACTTGGTGGCACCACCACCACTTATTACTGATAACGGTTATTAATAGTCTTATAGACCCTTAAAGTTGCCCGGATTATAATGTTCGAAACATACTTCAACGTAGCTTACACTTGTGTAATTTTTCAGTTTACAATCGATAGAGTAACCAATTTTCAGGTTAGCTTATTGGCCCTGTCATGTTCTTGAGGTCCCTGAAAGAGTTGAAAAGGCATTCTTCTTGAAGTAGTTAAACATGACTGTCTTAGTGCTTGTTTGATGAAGTGGACTAAGATGATTGGGTAATTTATTTCTATTTTTTTTTTCAGTTTCAAAAAAAGAACATTTTTTTCAGGTGAGCCTTACTGCCTCCGAGTGTCTGATTTATTATATAATTAATTTTCGCATTAATTATCCAATCATTAACCCTTAATTATCTAAAATAAAGTATTAAAAACAGTACTGCCTCTCAGTACTCTCAGTTCTTTGATGAATTTCCTTATGGGCTGCTAGCTTCTACGGGCTTAGTGGCTGCTGTTATTGGCTGCTAGCTTCAACCTGGTTAACGTTGGTCCCTTAACCATACATGCATCGTATTTACTATTTTCTCACTTAAAGGTTTTTTAACAAATATATTGACTTGATAAGGGGACGACAATTTGATTGACCGGGGGGGGGGGTGGACATAATTATAATATGTCCTTGAAACTGATGAAATAATTAATTCGCATTAAACTGACGATAAATAATCTGTCCTTGGCTGGCCCTACTACCCTCACACCCCAGGACGAAAAATCAATGTACATGTGTGCATGTGTGTGTGTGGGGGGGGGGGGGGGGGGCAAATAGTTCATATTTGCCCCCCCCCCCCCACACACACACACATGCACCCCTACAAACAAAGGACGAAAAATAATTAAGAATTTGGCAATTTTCCTGTTTTTCTTGTCAGTTTTTTCATTGATGAAGAATATAAGTAAATTGTCCTCCGTCGTCTAGGAAATGAATAATTTGACCTTCACCGCCATGAAAAAGCCATGAACTATTTGCAATCCCCGGAGGGGGGGGGCTTTTAATTCTATTACAGAGAGCGTGATTAAAAAAAATCATTTTTATAGAATAGAATAGAATTTATTATAAATCAAAGTTTAATCACCAAAATGGCGTTTTTAACAAATGTTTCTTGAATGTTCAGATTCAAACTATTTTTTCAATACGCACTTAAGACAACATTACGGAATAAAATACAACCACACAACGTACACTAAGCGTGCGTTTGACGTTACTGTAACGAACGCGACGTTAACCAGCTGTTAACCTAAGAAATCGAACGCGTCTAATAAATAAAAGAAAGATAACTCTTTTTTTTCTTGCACTTCCGGTAGATCACATGAAAGAAAGATGGTAAACAGCTGATAATTGAAAACAATGCTTGAAAAATCAGGATTAGGGAGTCTCCGATGTACAATTCAGTTTAGCTGATCATGAGTTACAAAGACAGCATCAGTCCGCCGGAAGACATGGATGGAGATCCCGATATTTACGGGAATATCCCCCCTGGGACACCAGGTGACGTTCACACAGAAGGTGTAGAGGGACAGTTTGATTTCTCATTCTCTACTTCTCTAGTGCGGGATGCATCTGAAAAATGCAAAAACATCGCTCATTCCATTAATTCCTCACATACTAACCAATGTGTGAACAACGATAGAAAACTGTCTTTCTGTAAAGAAATATCTGGTAAAGAATGAATATCAGTAAATCCCAGTAATGTAGTTTTAGAAGTTTACCCCTCACACCCAGGTATAGTTGGATGCTTTATCCACCTGTTCTATTTTGATTGACTTCACTAAAACTGTCAAATTACTATAAATATTATTCCTGAGCAGGAACATGATCTCTGTATTACCCCCACCCACTTTTCCCGAACAAATAAGGTACAATTAATGTTTCATTGATATGAAGCAATGCACTTCTCAAAGTTAATGTAATTCCCCATCATTTAAAGTCTGTCCTCAAATAACATTATCACTATATATCACAAACATCATCCCATAATTATGTTATGCACACTGTAACATTTATACTCACATTGGCAAAATATACTGTTGTAATTACTTCTTGTTTGTAAATTTTTAAGATACGATGAATCATGATGACTATTTATTGCACATACCAAGTTCTGATTAAAGATGTATATGGTTATGTAAATTATTGTATTCATCTCAAATGAATTTTAAAGAAAATTTATAAAAGAGATAAAGGAAAAGCAGGGAAATTTTCATTTGTGCAAAGGTCTGTTACATTTAGATTAATCAATATGTAAGGAGGCATATGTGCAATTATAATCTTGAAATTTCTGATTGCAGAAAGGACTCATCTCTTACAAGCCACAGTGTTCATAGAAGATGCTGCTAGGGTGAGTAAAGAGTATCTCCAAATTGGAGAGATTAATTCATTGCATCTCTTCACTAAAAAAAAAAATCACTAATTTTACTGTCTTAGTTCATTTCTTTGTTTACAAACACTAATTTGAGTGTGTGGATATTTCAGTATCGGGAGATCTGTCATCGTGTGGACAAGAGAGCTCTGCAGATCTACAGACTCTACCATTCAAACTTTCTACAAAGGTAGACTTTTCTTTCATGTCATTCCGTAGAGATTATATCTTTCATGTCACTCTCAAGCAAACTCAACTTTAAAATTGAACTTTGTCAAATTAACAAAAGAATTATTTTTCCACAAAAGATAACACAAATGAAAGGAAAAAAAGTCTGCAAGTCTGTTTTTCCATATAAGTTCCAAACATGAATATTTCAGGAGCCGTTATGCCTTTATTTTTGTGCTCCTTTTCCTGGCATTCTTTGAGTTCCCGTCCTCTTTGACCTGGACGTCAGACATCCGTAATCGTGGAGACAGAGTGGAAGTTCCCTGCGGAGTCACGGAGGGAATAGAACTCATCTGTCTACTCTTCTTTGTCACGGATGTCATCATAAAAGTATATTCTCAATTTCTAAAAGTAGTCATTTTTAAACAAGAAATGATAGTCTTAGTCATCTTTATTTTGAGCTTGTACTGGGGAAACTTGATTTTACATTACATATGATATTGAAATCTAAATAGGAAAAAAAAAATCACACAATAATTTTGAAGAATGTTTATTTTTTGTCCTTTTAAAGCATTATCAAAGGGTTTTTTTGTTTTTAATGTTGCTTTAAAACTTATGAACTGTATTTGGTTAACCACAGTCGATGTAATTTGATGACAATATTTTTCAGTACTGGTTGATTGGCTTCACTCAGTTCCGTAAGAAGAAGTGGATGGTAGCTACAGTGTTTGTCCTGGGGATTTCCCTCATAGACTGGTGTGTCAGCATCAGCTTCAAATGTAATGAGGTCTGTAATTAATGTATTGAGTTCTGAAATCAATGTAATGAGGTCTGTAATCAATGTAATGAGATCCGTAATCAATGTAATGAGGTCCGTAATCAATGTAATGAGGGTCATAATAATGTAACGAAGTCTGTAATCAATGTAATGAGATCCATAATCAATGTAATGAGGGTCATAATAATGTAACGAAGTCTTTAATCAATGTAATGAGTTCTGTAATCAATGTAATGAGGTCCGTAATCAATGTAATGAGGGTCATAATAATGTAACGAAGTCTTTAATCAATGTAATGAGTTCTGTAATCAATGTAATGAGGGTCATAAAATGTAATGAGGTCTGTAATCAATATAATGAGTTCTGTAAACAATGTACATTATGTAATGAGGTCTGTAATAATGTGAGGTCTGAAATAATGTTATAAATTTTGTAATACATGTAAAAGAAATTGTAGTCATGTTATATGAGTGATAAAAATTTTCATAAGTTATTAGTTTATTTTAAAAAGTATTTTATTCATGATATAAAAAGTATACAATAAATATGGGTTGAACAGCATGTAAAAGTGGCCAATATTATTTATCTTCATTTGAGATACTGTGAAATCACAAATTTTCATGGAGGTTTAATTTTTGTAATTTTGGAGGTATGAATAGACCCACGAATTCATGTGCTTCACGAAAAGTAAAACATATTATTCAACAAGTCTTCATCCACGAATTTAAATCCTCACAAATTAAGAGTTTTTACTCAAACCATGAAAATTGGATACAACGAAAAAATGTGATTTTACAGTAAGTTATTGAAGAATGATTCATAATTCTTGGTATCTCTTATAGGCTACGAGATTTCGTAGAATAATCCGTCCATTTTTTGTTATCAACTACTCCAGCATCATGAAGAAAACTGTCAAATGTCTTCAGAGGACGCTGCCTGAGGTTATAAGGTAACTTATCATCATTTACATGTAACAACTATCAAGGCTTATAAATGTCAAATTACTGTTGTCAGGGTCTATATATCAATGACCTAGCCTCATGCACAGTCCAAAGGGAGATAATTCATGTCACAATAAATAATATGTTTATTTTCAGTGTCCTCCTGTTGCTGGGGTTACATCTCTTTATATTTTCTCTGATTGGAATGTTATTATTTCCTAATCCTAAGGTAAAATATACTTCCTACTCTAATGACATTTTAAAGATCTACCACCATTTTCTCCACTATATTAAGGACCTCTCATTTCATCTTTATGAAGTAGATATGTATGTTCCTATTTTTGACTTTTTCAGCCCTATGATGAGATGCGCAATGTCACTGATGGTGGACTATCTGCCCTCCTGTCTAACATTACCACTCCCTCTCCCTCTAATTCAACAAATGTGGTAATTAAACTAAATTTCATACATTATTTTGCTCAACACTTTGCACCATAATCCACTATAATGTAGACATTTCTCAGACTAAACTATGATAATTGTGTATTACAAATGATAGTTATATTCTAATAACCGCATTGTCTTGCTTATTAACATCTGCCATATTTATTAACATTTTGATATATTTTAAAGATAGGAGAGGGAGATAAATATTTCCGTAGTTTACTGGACTCCTTTATGAATCTCCTGGTTCTACTAACAACAGCCAACAATCCTGATGGTGAGCTTAGAAATATTTTTTGTGACACATATCTAATTTATCAGAAATTTTGAATTGATAAAGGAAAATTGTATATTAAAGTTTTTCTCTTTTTTCTCCCTTACAGTAATGATGCCTGTTTACCAACAAAACAGATTTTACTCTTTGTATTTCATATTATTTCTCCTAATTGGTAAGAATCACTTTTATTTCAGACATGCACATGTAAATGTTCATTTTTTTCTTATAATACTGCTCTTTAAAAATACATGTATGTATCATATGTATCGTATTTTAAATGCATACATTAAATATTTTAAATTCTGACATATCCACTTTTCCTGACTTTTTAGGGAACTACTGTTTTATGAACATGCTTCTCGCTGTCATTTACAATCAGTTCCGAGGGTATTTCCAGGTAAATCTAAAATAAAAGCCCTCAAAAGGCAATTAGATGTAATTCCAAATTAAAATTCTGAAAAATCTTATTTAACTTTAAAATATTTGTATCCCTTTTTACTTTTGTATAGTAAACAAAGTTGAAAGGATTAAAATTTAAAGTGTCAGTAAATACATCACATAGAATTTCGCAATCTTGAAGACATAACTCACAGTGTTCTTATTTATTACTCTTTATTGTAGACCTCCATGCAGTCTGACCTTTTAAGAAGGAGGGTGGGAATCAGAGCAGCCTATGAGGTCCTGAAAGGGGCAGATGGACACTCCAACATCTCCCCCTCAGAACAAAGGTCAGAAACTCAAAAAGGGGCAGGAAGGGAAGGGGTTATTGTAATGTACTCCTTAGATAAACAAATAATTACTGTCAGTTTGGAAAAATAATATTTTGTCAACTGTTATTATTTTTCTTTGATAAGTTTAAACATGCAACACATACCAGTAAGTTGAATTTCTTGCCCCAATATTTGGAGATGGGGGGGGGGGGGGGCAATATACCCAGGTAGTTTTTGATCTCAGTGTCAATTTTTTTCAACACAAACTTAAACCTTGGTTATTTAGAACTTTTAAACAGCTGATGTGAATGCTTTCTTATTTCATCTGGCTATTCCTTATGACAAGACCTTTATTTATTGGAGAATTGTGAACTGATTTTTTCATCTCTGTTGCAGATATGGGGTTTCTATGTACAATGTCAAAACAATAATAGAACATGCTGATTTACCCAACCATGTCAAATCTGCACTAAGAGTGGTGAGTTCACTGTTTTTATTTTCTAATTTTCTATTTTCATGAGTTAAAATTATCTCCCTTTTTGAATTTATTTTCATTGACTAATTCAGTTAAGAAAGATGAAAT